ACTCACACCGGGCGCGTGTGCGTGCGTGCCCAAGATCCCAAGAGGAGAATGGAGGAGAAGGGATTGCAGCGTGACCATACCCCCTGGGGGGTGATTTCTCGCTTTCTGTCTCTATGTCTCTCTCTGTCTGTCTGGCAAGCGCACGCGCCCTACAGTGAAAATCTCTCCAAAAAAAAAAAAAGATTTTGGGCACACACACATACGTGCCTGACATGAGTTTTAAGCCACCGGGTCTGGGACTTGAACCACAGTCGACTATGTAGGAGTCCAGTGATGTAATCATTACCCCATCTGCTGGTCCCCCCAGGGTAGGATTCTAACCCCAAAGAGCCATGTGGGATCCAGCTCCCTTAACCACTAGGCCACAGGACTGGCCGGGCCCCCACCATCTTTCTCCAAGGCAGCCCTGCTTCCTTGGCCTGAGGCTCCGCTTGGACTCTGGTATCCAAGGCCCTTCACTGGCACTTAGCATACCTTGCCGAGGTCACCTCCTCCCTCCCCTGTGGCCTGCAAGTGCTCTCCCGTCCCTGGAACGGGCTGGATACTCATACGCAGTCACACCTCTGCTCCTTGTGAGCCCTGCCACCCCTCCCTTCTCCGGCTGACGGACTTACCTTGCCCAACCCAGCTCAGATGCCACCACCACCTGGTGGCCTCCCATCCTCCTCCTGGCCCTCACACACCATGGGCTCCTTACCTTTAGAGCTCACCTCCAGCTCCTGGTTTGGGGTGGATGAGGCTGATCTGTTCAGAATCACAGAGGGCACAGATTTTCCACGTGACCTCTGACCGACGCTGAGACCGGCTGAGCCTCAGATCCCTCCCTGTGAAAGGGAGTGATCCCGGCCCTTATCTCATGGGGTCTTGGCAAGACAAACACCATGCCAAAAGCCACAAACCTGTGCTTGAGGCGAACACTCTCTTCACGGAAACAATGGCTGTCCTATAATTCCATTTGACTGCGGTGGGTCCATCCCAGCAGGGAACCTCTCCCAGCAGGACCCAGGCTCAGTCCATGCCCACATCCAGAAAGCCAGCGCAGGGTGCCTACAGCTGGCGCCTGTGTGTGAGATGACCCAACCTGCTCGGGGTCAGCCACTCCTGGGTCACCTGCTGCTTGGGGAAGTGGCTTCAGAACTGCTGAGTTCAGACATGAAGCCCTCCTTTCCTAAGGGACTCTGACCCTGGTACTCAGGCGTTCAGCCAGGGGGAGGCCTCCCTGTCACCAGCCTGGGTCGGCCGGGCAGGCAGCTCACCATTCCCCTGTCCCCAGGGAGTGGAAGAGTAGAGTATAAGGATTGATTGAGAGACCCTTGGAAAGATCTAGATGCGAAACAGAGTCAAGAGACAGATGTAATCGAGAACATAGCCCCTGGCTCACCCTTGCTCGGGTGGACGGTGGTCAGGGTTAGGCTAAGAAAGACCATTTTGGGGACCAGCAGATGATGTAATGGTTATGTCGCTGGACTTCCATGTGGTCAACCTGGTTCGAGTCCTGGTCTCGGTGGCTTCAAACTCACGCTGGGTGCATGTGTGTGTGTATGCCCAGGATCCTGAGAGGAGAATGGAGGAGAAGGGATTACGGTATGGCCATCCCCCCCGGGGGGGGGGGGATTTCTCCTTTTCTGTCTCTCTGTCTCTCCGTTGAGCGCATATATCCTATAGTGAAAAATCTCTCTAAAAAAGAATAAAAAAGGACCAACAGTTAGCATAATGGCTATGTCACTGGACTCCCATGGAGTCGACCGCAGTTCGCGTCCCGGACCCGGTGGCTTAAAACTCATGCCAGGCGCGTGTGTGTGCATGCCCAAGATCCCGAGAGGAGAATGGAGGAGAAGGGATTGTGGTGTGGCCATCCCCGCTGGGGGGTGATTTCTCGCTTTCTGTCTCTCTGTCTCTCTCTGTCTCTCTGGCGAGTGCATGCGCCCTATAGTAAAAAAGAAAAAAAATAATAAAAGAAAGGCCATTTTGACACCATAGGAGCAGCCTCGGAAGACACCCAGATCCAGGTTCAAATACCAGTTCTGACATTTATCAGCTCCTTGAGCTTGGACAAGTCATTTCATCTTTTTTTTATCTGTTTTTTTTTTCTTTTCTTTCTTTCTTTCCTTTTTTTTTTTTTTTAGACAGGTCTTACTATGTTGCCCAGGGCAGTCTCGAGCTCCCAATCCTTCTCCCTCAGCCTATGTCCCCACTCCAACCCTCATTCCTTCAAGATCCTTGGCCAAAGTGTTGTCATCCATTTACTGGGCTTTGATTTACTCATCTCTCAAAAGGAACTGATAACAGAACCTACCCAGTAGGGCTGCCAGGGGACCAACATGCTTTGCTCACCAAACAGGGATGTTTCGTTATAGATAACTAATTAGCAATAAATAACCAATATATGCACAGCATCCTTCTTGTGGAGAAAAAGAAATCAACATTTTTATTTTATTATTATTATTATCTTTGGAGAGATTTTTGCCATAGGGCACATGCACTTTCCAGAAACACACAGATGGAGAAAGAGGAAGTAAGAAGACTCCTCCCAGGGGGGATGGCCACACAACAATCCCTTCTCCATTCTCTTCTCAGGATTTTGGACACGCAGGCACATATGCCCAGCATGAGTTTCAAGCTGTTGGGTCCAAGATTCGAACCATGGTCAACCATGTGGGAATCTAGTATTTTAACCACTACCCCACCTGCTGGCCCCAAGACATCAACATTTTTTGGAGAGATTTTTTTGCTATAGGGCGCATGCGCTTGCCAGACAGACAGAGAGAGACAGAGAGACAGAAAGCGAGAAATCACCCCCCAGGGGGGATGGTCACGCCGCAATCCCTTCTCCTCCATTCTCCTCTCGGGATCTTGGGCATGCACGCACACGCGCCCGGCGTGAGTTTTAAGCCACCGGGTCCGGGATGCGAACCGTGGTCGACTATGTGGGAGTCCAGCAACATAACCATTACGCTAACTGCTGGCTCCCAACATCAACATTTTAACTTTTACGTGCCAGATACTTAGCAGGTCCCTGTGCCTGTGGTATTAATCACAAGAAGGGTAAGAATAATCACAGCAGCTTCCGTTTATTCAGATTTTACAACTACAGGCCCTGGGCTATGGCTTTACATATATCATCTCTGTGTGTTTCTGCCACGAGCCAAATGGTACTGTATTTATTTCCATTTTCCAGATGAAGAAACTGAGCCTCACAAAGATGAAATGGGTCCAGCTGTGTTGGCACACACTGCCAAAATACTGTGTTTCGCAGGCTGGGACCACGTGGGGACCCAGGTTTGATTCCCAGTCCAACCTAAAGGCCAGGAGCAATGACAAGTCCCTGTAATCCCAGCAATTTGGAGACACAGGCTCATTCTGCTCGATCTCAGAGCTCTGACGGGGCCCCTGTCCCTCCTCTTTCTTTCTTTTTATTAGGTTTTTGTCACAGAGTGCGTGTCTTTGATAGAGAGAGAAGGGAAGTGAGAATTTACCCTCCCCTCGAGGGGGATGGTCACACTACAATCCGTTCTCTTTCATTCCCCTCTTGGGGTTTTGGGCAAACACACACACACACACACACACACACACACACACTCACACTCACACTACCCCACACACTCCCACTCACACTCACACACACACCTGCATGATTTTCAAGCCATCAGGTCCAGGACTGGAATTGCAGTTGGCCCTGTGGGAATCTAGCACCTTAACCGCCATGCTGCCTGCTGGCCCTCTTTCTTTTTAAAAAATTGGCTACAGGGTATGTGTACTTGCTGGAGAGTCCCCACATGGGCCATGGTCAAGCCGCAAGACCTTCTCTATTTCTCCCTCCTGTGGGGATTTTGGACACGTATGCGCATGTGCCAGATCATTTGTCAAGCCTCCTGGTCCAGGACTGGAACCACATAGTTGGTCACGTGGGATCCAGCAACCCTAAGCACTACACCTCTGGCTGCCCACACTTTTCTAATTAGTATTATTCATGATGGAGAGCATATATTTTTAAAATTTTTTTGGAGAGGTTTTTGCTATAGGGCACGTGTGCTAGCCAGAAAGACAGAGAGAGACAGAGACAGAAAGCAAGAAATCACCCCCCAGGGGGATGGCCACGCCACAATCCCTTCCCCTCCATTCTCCTCTTGGGATCTTGGGCATGCACGCACACGCGCCCGGCGTGAGTTTAAGTCACCAGGTCCGGGACTTGAACCGCGGTCGACTACATGGGAGTCCAGCGACATAGTTATTACTCTAACTGCTGGTCCTCATGATGGAGAGCATATCTACATGCAAGAGAAAGAGAGAAAAGCACTGTGGACAAGGTCTCCTCAAGCCATATTCCCTTTCCCCATTGCTGCAGCTCCTTGGGATCTTAGGTGACCCTTACTCCAGGTATGCTTTCAAGCCAATAGGGAGTCTGAACCCAGGGTGAGTCATGAGACTTCCGGCACTGAAATTCAGTTTGCTCTCTACTGCACCCCCAGGGTAGGCCTAGGTTGTCTTTTCACTTTGTTTGTAGTCTTCTGACACGCAAATGTTTTTAAAATTTCTATAGACAAATGAAATAATCTTTTATTGCATCTGGATTTTTTTTTTTTTTGAGAGAGAGATTTTTGCTCTAGGGTGTGTGCACTTGCCAGAGAGACAGAAAGCAAGATATCACCCCTTGGGGGAATAGCCACATTGCAATCCCTTCTCCTCCTTCTTGGGATCTGGGGCATGCGTGCACATGCACCTGGTATGAGTTTTAAGCTGCCGGACCTGGGATTCAAACCACAGTCGAACACATGAGAGTCCAGCACCTTAACCACTATGCCATCCTCCGGCCCTCGCATCTGGATTTTGAGTCATAATTTGACAGTGTCTTCCATGTACACATTATAGAGGAATTCACCCATGTTTTCCTCTAGGATTGCATAGTTTTAGCATGGAGGTTAAGGTCCTGGACTCCCCCATGGCTGACTGTGTTTGAGTCCCAGATCTGGCAGCTCGTTTTCTCACTTTCTCTCTCCTTCTCTTTCTCTGTCTTCCTTTGGTGAATTCATGTGCCCTCTAACAAATTTAAATAATAATAATAATAAATTTGGGACCAGCAGTTGGTGTAATGGCTGTGTTGCTGGACTCCCATGTAGTTGACCATGGTTCGAGTCCTGTATCCAGTGGCTTAAACTCACACCAGGCGTGTGTGCGTGCGTGCCCAAGATCCCGAGAGGAGAATGGAGAAGAAGGGACTGCGGCGTGGCCATCCCCCTTGGGGGGTGAGTTCTTGCTTTCCATCTCTCTCACTCTCTTTCTGGCGAGTACACACGCCCTATGGCAAAAACCTCTCCAAAAATAATAATAATTAATTTAATTTAATTTAAAAATTCTTTAAAAAAGAGTTTTTTGGGACAGCAGGTGGCATGGTGGTTATTGTACTGGCCTTCCACATGGCTGACCATGGTTCAAGTCCTGGACCTGGCAGTTTGCTTTGTCACTTTTCTTCTCTCTTTCTCTCTCTCTGGTGAGGACGTGTGCTCTATAGCAAACTTAAAAATAAATAAATAAATACGTTTGAAGGAAAAAAGAGTTTATTTTATGTCATGCATAGTGTGAGGCATGGATTTTGGACTAAAAGGGAAAAAAAAAACCCATATTTGAGAGACAATTAGAAAAACTGGAATAAAGTCCCTACATCATATAATAATATCAAGTAAATGGTCAATTTCTTTTTTTTAGGTTTTTGCCGTAGGGCATGTGACTTGCTGGACAGAGAGAGAGAGAGAGAGAGAGAGAGAGAGAGAGAAAGTGAGAAATCACCCCCCAGGGGAGATGGCCATACTGAAGTCTTTCCTCCTCCATTCTCCTCCTGGGATTTTGGGCACTTATGCACACGTGCCCAGAGTGATTTTCGAGCTGACAGGTCTGGGACTCAAACTGCTGTCAGCCATGTGGGAGACCAGCGCTTTAACCACCACTCATCCTGCTGGCCCCAAATAGTTAATTTCTTGAATGTTATAATGATATCCTACTTACTAGGATGATGTCCTTGCTGTTAAAAAAAAGAGAAAAAACATGCTTCAGGACCAGCAGTTGGTGTAATGGCTATGTTGCTGGACTCCCATGTAGTCATCTGTGGTTCGAGTCCCAGACCCGGTGGCTTAAACTCACTCCGGGCGCGTGTGCATGCGTGCCCAAGATCTCGAGAGGAGAATGGAGGAAAAGGGATTGCAGCGTGGCCATCCCCCCTGGGGGGTGATTTCTCTCTTTCTTTCTGTCTCTCTCGTCTTTCTGGCGAGCGCATGCGCTCTATAGCAAAAACCTCTCAAACCCCCCCCCACACACACACACAAAACAAAACAAAAAACACGTGCTTAAGTATTTAGGGTTAACTTGTTACTATGACTTCGTTACTCTTCGAATAGTAAATTTATATACAGAGAACAACATTACATATAGAGAGCTATTATTTAGAGTAACCAAATATTAGCAATCAATGGCAGAATATATGAGTGTTTAATATTCTTGCAATTTTTCTCCAGGTTTCAGAATTGGCGAAGTACAATTCTGGGGGGAGACGTGGGCTCACCGGGGTTCAGGTAGAAGAGGACGCTCGGTTCCTTTAAGCTGGGCCCCGCCCCTTACGTCTCCCCTTGGGCCCTGCCCACCCCGGAAAGCCTCGGTCCAATCCCCGCCCCGCTCGCCCTTAGCTCCGCCCCCGCCCCGCGACGGACTGTGGTCACGTGATCCCGGCTGCAGCGCGCAGCTCGGCGCGGTCATGGTGGCCTCGATTGCCGGCTTTCCCCGGGGCCCCCCGCCCGTCCCCCCCCGCCTCCCGCACGCGCTCCGTGATCCTGGACGCCGCGACGGGCCAGCTGCGCCTGGTGGACGGCCGCCACCCCGATGCCGTGGCCTGGGCCAACCTCACCAACGCCATCCACGAGACCGGGTAAGGGTTGGTCCGACCCCGCGCGGGGCCAGTGGGACAGGGGCTGCGCGGGCGCAGCCTCTTGCTGGGGACAGCCCGTCTCCCTGGGGTCAGTTTCTCGCTCCCCAGGCTGCAGCGCCGTTGCTTGGACCAGATCCGTATTTGGGAGTGGGCTTACGCACCATCTCTCACCTCATGGGGGGAACAGTCGTGACAGTGTTTCTGCCCCTCAAGACGCCAGTTCTCGACTCCAGAGGCCACAGTGCCTGCATCTGGGTCAGGTCCCGGCTGATGAGTAATACAGCGACTCCCCTCCCCACGGGGAACAGTCCCGTTTCCTAGACTTCAGTTCTGCACGGTGGATGCCAGCCCCGGGTCCTCTGGCTGGTGACTCTCACTTACTTGACTGTGTCTTGCTCCAGGGTTGTCAGCCTTAGCCTCCTCCCCAAACCAAAGCAGCGGGACTGAGCCTGGGTTCTTGCCAGTTGTTCAGCAGAGGGTTCCTAAAGTCGCGGAGTCCCAGGTAGTACCTTTGCCATGTCTCTGCTTCTTCCTTTTCTTCTCCGTGCTGGGCCAGGGTGGGGGATGGATACTTGGCAGTCACGATCACTGTGAGACCCAGACTGTCATTCCGACGTGTGCTTCTCACCTACCTCCTCTGCCTGTCTCGGCTCCCGGTTTCCCATCTGTGGCCCAGCTTCGGGGATGTATTCAGTTGGGTGATTGCGTGAGGCTCCTCGCAGGGCTGCACAGGGGCTTGGGCCATTCACTTATTCATTGGCCTGGAACCCAGGGCTGAGCAAGGTAGGGGTCCCTACTCACAGAAAGTGCCAGGAAGGACACCAGAGTGAGTGAGGACAGGGAGAATCCACTTCAGAGCCTTGGCAGTGGGGCCCAGGCCCCGGATCTGGGTCTTCGGGGACCTCTGTGTCCCCCTCTCCATCTTGGGCATATCTCAATGCTAAGACTACATTGCCCCCTCCAGCAGGCATGGCTTCCCCTCACTATTATCGCTTCATTTTTTTTTAAGGTTTATTTAATTGTATTCATTAGTATTTTTTAATGTGACCAGAGAGAGAGAAAGAGAGAGAGAGAGAAAGGGAGAAAGCAAGCTGCCAGGTCCAGGACTTGAACCACACTCAGCCATGTGGAGTGCAGTGCCTCAACCATCACACCACCTGCCAGCCTTACCCCATCTGTTTTGCTGGTATGCATTGATTCCTGCAGGTGTGGGAGAGACCCAGGATGCTGAGGACACCCCCACTCTGGTGGCATTTTGGGGGTCATCAGATTGACAGATAGGAGATGTAGAGGAGAGATAGGCTGCAGACATAGGACCTGGGTGGGGCTAATCTGGGAAGCCTCCCTGGGAGAGGAGGCCATGAGATACCCTGGAGGGAAGCAAAGCTCTGCAGCTGGGCACAGGGGTTGCCGTCATCCTGGGATCAGGTGACCCGTTCTCTGCTGACTCACACGTTTTTGGCCCTGCTTGGCAGAGTCCATGGGGCATGACGAGTCTGTCTGGAGGGCGTACAGAGGTGAGACCCAGCATGGGGAGGGTTTTTAGCCTCAGGAAGGCCCCCACTGGGCTGTGGTGCTCTCGGTTATGGTCACACATGGAAGAGGAGAGGGGCCTTCCTTGATCACGCTGGATGGAAAATTCTTCCGGGTTCAGCCCCACTGCTGTGTGACCTTGGGCAAATTCCTCCACCTCTCTGAGCCTGCCTTCTCACCTCAGGTGGGGCTGAAAAGATCCTGGAAATGTAGTGGGATCGTGGAGGGCCCTGCTGTTCAGTTACTGAAGGAAGGGGGGATGGATGAGAGAGAAAGGGGCAGGTTGTTCTTTGTCCCCATTTTCCAGGTGGGGAAACTGAGGCCCAAGAGGTGAGTCCAGCTCTCTTCTGCACCTTTTGCTTCCCCTCACCACTCTGGCGTCTTTCTGCCCGGTCTCTCATTCCCACATCCCCTTTTCCCCAGGTTTCCCTCTGAGGTTGTGACATAGTAAATCCTCCATTTTATAGGCAGGGAGACAGAAGCCCTCCGAGGTGGTCTCTTGAGCTGGGCGAGGCTTATCTGGGAAGGCTCCCTAGGAGAGGAGGCCACAGAATAAGCTGGAGGGAACTAAAACTCTGCAGCTGGCCCCAGTGTTGCCATCATCCTGGGATCGGGTGGTCCAGAGGCCTCAGGAGTAAGAGGCAAGAAGGCTGTCTGAGGTGTCCCGCCTGTGGTTAGCAGAATCTCTGGTCTCCGTCTTAGAGGGTGGAGGCCAGGGACTTGCTCTTCTGTTCACCTGTTGTGTTTCTGCTGGGGATCCTAGGGTTGCCAGGACAAATCCTCCTTCTCCCATAATCCTTCCTCTTGCATTTGGGCTAAACCTGACTGTGGATCAACACCCCCACCCCACCCCAATGCAGCCAGGAAATATTTAGGATTTGGTGCTTGAAAATCAGAACCCGCTGCAGCCTGGCTTTGCCCTGGACCTGGGGAAGCACAACCCTCCAAGTTCACCTTTTTTCCCTTCCCTCATGTGACCTCACCAGCCAGCACCTGACCCCAAGGTGCCTTGCAGTAAGTCACCCTGAAGTTGAGACATGATGTGAATTAAAATAAGAGGGAATTAACAAATTAGCAAAGCAGGAAACATTCCCAGTCCATCAACCAACAAACAAAACGAATAAGAATGAATAAATCCTAAGAGATGAATCCTTCTCACCAAGAATGAGAAAAGTGGGGGACCAGCAGTTGGTGTAATGGCTATGTCACTGGACTCCCATGTATAGTTGACCATGGTTCAAGTCCTGGACCCAGTGGCTTAAACTCATGCCGGGCATGTGTGCGTGCGTGCCCAAGATCCCGAGAGGAGAATGGAGAAGAAGGGATTGTGGCATGGCCATCCTCCCTCGGGGGTGATTTCTTGCTTTCTATCTCTCTGGCTTTCTCTGTCTTTCTGGCGAGCACATATGCCCTATAGCAAAAATAATAAAACTTCTCCAAGAAAAAAAAGAAAAAAAAAAAAAAGAATGGCAAAGGTGATCCAGCAGGTGGCGTGGTGGTTAAGGTGCTGGGCTCCCACACAGGCAGCCACAGTTTGAGTCCTGGACCTGGCAGCTTGAAATGCATGCCGGGTGTGTGTACGTGCCCAAGATCCTGAGAGGAGAATGGAGGAGAAGGGATTGTGGTGTGGCCATCCCCCTGGGAGGTGATTTCTTGCTTTCTCTCTCTCTGTCTCTCTCTGGCAAGCACATGTGTCCTATGGGAAAAACAAAACAAACAAACAAACAAAACTTAAAAAAAAGAAAATAGGAAGTGAGACAGGACAGGTACTGCAGGTACGGGAGAGGCATCCGTGGGATGGGGGCGTTGACAGCCTACTGTAATAAACGAGGAGATATTTGTGAATGTCGGAGAGAGTAGACATGCTTTTACAATGGGGTCAGTATACATTATGTACTTGTTTTGAAAAACTATATTGGCGGAACCAACAGATGGCATAGTGGTTAAGGCTCTGGACTCCCACGTGGTTGACTACAGTTTGAGTCCTGGACCCGGTGGCTTGAAAGTCACGCCAGGCACATGTGCATGCATGCCAGAATCCTAAAAGGAGAATGGAGAAATGTGGCCATCTCCCCTGGAGAGTGATTTCTTGTTTTCTGTCTCTCTTTGCTGAGCGCACATACTCTATAGCAAAAATCTCTCAAAAAAATAATAAAAAATTAAAAAACCAAATACTTGTTAAAAAAAAAAATACTAAAGATTGATTTCTTACCAAAAAGATGATTTGGCTTTTTAAATTTTTTTTTTGATATTTTTGCTATAGGGCACGTGCACTCGCTACCTGGCATGAGTTGCAAGCCACTGGATCCAGGACTCGAACTGAGGTCAGCCACGTGGGAGTCCAGTGCCTTAATTATTACACCACCTGCTGACCCCTGGCTTGGCTTGGCTGTTTTAAAAAAGGCCTCTGAAGCCCTTTGATTAGGCCCTCGCCCCTGACATAAAATCGCAGTGTCTTAGGGCTATAGATTTTTTTAGGAGAAAACAAAGAAAAAGGTTGGGGAAACAGACCCAAAGCCACCAACTTTTCATTTTTGCCAAGTAAGTGCCTTTAAAACCAAACAGGACAATATGTATCAGCTTGTGTCAATATTTATCTCTAAAAAGCTCAGCAGTTTTAAGAACCACACAAGCAGAAAGGACCCAAGCTGACGAGGAGCCATCTTCAATAAGTCCTTCCAGTCGCGGGCACAGACTCGATAATTTTCTTGTGGTCGTGACCCGGGTCAGGTGTCTCGGAGCTGGGATTCTAGAGGCCATTTGCTGACGCTCCAGCCTTCCTGCTTACAGAGGGGGAAAATCGAGGCTGGCCGGGCAAAGCAGCGTGGGAAGAGGCAGCGTTTCTGGTTCCGTGTCAGAGACGTGAGTGTAAATCCCTTGTCTGGCACCTTCTACAACTGTGAGCAGCTGCTTCATCTTTTAAATAGAGAAGGAAAGCTCTTTTTCTTTTTCTTTTTAGAGGGAGAGAGAGAAATTTTTGCCATAGGGTGTATGCGCAGAGAGACAGAGAGAAACAGAGAGACAGAAAGTGAGAAATCACCCTCCGGGTGGATGGGCACACTGCAATCCCTTCTCCTCCATTCTCCTCTTGGGATCTTGGGCATGCACGCACGTGTGCCCGGTGTGAGTTTCAAGCTGCAGGTCTGGGACTCGAACTGTGGTTGGCCATGTGGGAATCCAGTGCCTCAACCACTATACCACCTGCAGGCCCCGAGAAGCTTTTTGTTTGTTTGTTTCAAGTTTGTCAGGGGGTACGGGTGATTCCAGAAAGACAAGGAGAGGGAAAAAGTACCCCCCCATGAGGAATGGTCACCCCACAGTCCCTTCTCCTTGTCCTCCATTTCTCTATCCTGTTAGAATTTTGGGTATATGCCTGGCGTGTTTCTCAAGCCACCGGGGCTGGAATTTGAGCCATGGTTGGCCATGTGGGACCCAGCTCCCCTAACCACTAGGCTATGGGACTAGCCTCTGTGTTCATGGTCGAACATTGGAGTTGGCTGTGTGCCCAACTGGGAGCTGGCTTGACAAGTGTCTCCTCTTTCACCCTCCAGCTGGGCCTTTCTGGAGCTGGGCACGAGTGGTCGCTACAATGACAGCCTGCAGGCCTACGCAGCCGGCGTGGTGGAGGCAGCCGTGTCGGAGGAGGTAAGGATGGGCCTTGAGGTTTGTGCACAGTGACCTCGCCATTCCCGCCCCCAGCCCTCCACCTATGGGGTTGTCGGGAAAATCATAGATTTTTGCTTTAGGGTGCGTGCACTCGCCAGAGAGAGAGAAAGAGACAGTGAGAGGGAAAGTGAGAAGTCAGCACCCCAGGGGGCGTGGCCAGCCGCAATCCCTTCTCCATTCTCCTCTTGGGATCTTGGACATGCATGCATATGTGCCTGGCGCAATTTTCAAGCCACCCGGTCCAGGACTCAAATCACGGTGGCCCATGTGGGAGTCCAGAGACATAATCGTAACCACGCATCATGCTTTTCCTGACAACCTAGCTGGAGAGAAAATGCTCGCGTTCACTGGGCGCTGACGGCCACCTTGGAAGAATGCATAACGTATTCTGTTCAGTCGTCAGAAGACCATGACGCATTTTGGCATGGAAGCACGCAGAAAAATACGTCATGACTTTTCTGACGACTCCGTAGGTTACGAAGCCTAATCACAAGCTGAATGCCCCCAGTGGGACCTAGAGCGTTACCAGTTCCGTAGAAGCCCCCTGTCTGCCTGCCTTCTCTTCTCCCAGAGGTACCTCCCACCGAGCCGTGGGCAAGCAGCCACTGCTCCACAGAGCAGCCAATCACCAGCCTTGCTTGTGTCCTGGGGCCCGGCGTGGCTGATCTTGGCTAGGCTCGCTGGTGCACCTGCAGCCCTTGAGGGTGAGCTGGCTCTCCCAAGATGGCCTTGTCTACACGTCTGGGGGTCAGTTCTTTGTCAGCGGGCTGACAGGGACAGCCAGGCTTCATGGTCTTCCATCTCAGCAGGTGAGCCCAGATCTGTACCCGTGGCATCTTGGCAGATGGTGCTGAAAGCTTCTGGTTGAAAGGGGCCCAGCGTTGTCCTGCCACATCGGTCAATGAGGATGCTGGCTGGTTTATTCACTGCTGTGCTCCAGGGCTCAGGGCAGGCCCTAGTAGGTACCTGGAAATGCACTAGTCACGGGCCGACTGCATACGTGGAAAGATGGGGGAGGGGTCCCCTGTAGCAGAAGAGGTGAATTTAGCCAAGGTTGGGTAGCCCTTATTTGAAATACTTGAGACCAGCAGTGTTTTGGATTCTGGATGTTTTTGGATTTTGGAGTATTTGCGTATACATAACGAGATATCTCAGGAATGGGACCGAAATCTTAATACAAGAGTATGTCTCAGATCTGTTTTATACACATAGCCTGAACGTAGTCGTATATAAGTCGTATATACTTTCTTCTTTTACAGATGTGGTCTCACCCTGTCGCCATCTCCTGCCTCAGCCTCCTGATGAGGTGGGACCACAGGTGAGAGCCTGAGACAGGGTCTGTCGTAGCCCCAGCTAAGCCCCAGCCCACGATCGTCCGGCCTCTGCCTCCCTGGTAACTGGGATCTCAGACATGCACCGTGGAGCTCAGCTTTCAGGACAGGTCAATAATCAGACATAGGCCTCCCATGTAGCCTCAGAGTGGGGATCAGGAGAGTCCTTCCAGTGCATGGGACCAGCAGATGGCGTAGTGGTTCTGTCACCGGACTCCCATGTAGTTGAGTGCCGTTCAAGACTTGGGTCCGGTGACTCCGCTTGTGCTCCCGTATTTATTCACACATGGTCAAGGGCGCAGCTGCGCACTGTGGCATCGCGTCGGCTCTCAGAAAGCTCGGCTTCAGAGCAGTCCGGATTTTTGGATTCGGAATCCTCGACCTGTACAAACTTGGCATTTGCATGTTTTTGTTTTGTTTGTTTGTTTGTTTGTTTGTTTTTAATGAGGTCTTTTTTTTTTTTTGGTAATTATTTTATTTAACTCTATTTTATTTTTTTCTGGAGAGGTTTTTGCTATAGGGCGTGTGTGCTCTCCAGAAAGACAGAGAGAGACAGAGAGACAGAAAGTGAGAAATCACCCCCCAGGGGGGAAAGCCAGGCTGCAATCCCTTCTCCTCCATTCTCCTCTCGGGCTCTTGGGCACGCACGCACACGCGCCTGGCATGTTTAAGCTCTAGGTCCAGGACTCGAACTGTGGTCGACTATGTGGGAGTCCAGGACATAGCCATTACGTCACCTGCTGGTCCCATCATTAGCTTCATTTTTATTCATTTTAATTTGACCAGAACGGGAGAGAGTGAGAGAGAGCAGAAAGTGAGAAAGCAAGCCGCCAGGTCTGGGAATCAAACTACTGTCAGCCATGTAGGAGTCCAGTGCCCTTAACCACCACACCACCTGCTGGCCCCCAAACTTTGCATGCTTAAAGCTCTCAGAGGAGGGAGACTGGCAGGCGTGTTGAGCTCTGTCGGGGCTAAGAGCTGGGCGTGGACAGAGGGGCCTCCCAGGGCCAGTGGTCTCCCCAGGGGACAGCACCCCAGCTCCCTTGGCCCCCCTCACCCCACAGCTCATCTATATGCACTGGATGAACACGGTGGTCAATTACTGCGGCCCCTTCGAGTATGAAGTCGGCTACTGTGAGAGGCTCAAGAGCTTCCTGGAGGCCAACCTGGAGTGGATGCAGGAGGAGATGGAGCGGAACCAGGACTCCACGTACTGGCACCAGGTGGGCCCAGGTGCCGTGCTCGCGCTCGGTGGGGTAGGGTGAGGCTCGGCCTGCCCTGGTACGTGCCACTGCACTGCTCTGGCTGCTGAGGTTCCGGCCAGTGGCTCCCCATCTCCCGCTCTTCATGGCCAGCCCTTCATTGTGTCCAGCTGCCCGGCCCTCCTTGCGTCCATCACTGTCTTCATCCCTGTAGCCAGCCTGCAATTCATCCATCTGTCTCTCCCTTCTCTACCTGTCAGTCCTTCTGTGGGTCCACATGCTCCAATTCCAGCGTCTGTCCTAACTTGCCTGTCCAACCCCTTCTGCCCCTCCTGTCAAACTAACAAAAACCACACAGTTAACCGTTAGTATGCTGTGTTACTCGCAGACAAGGAGGGCGCTTGGTAGATGGATTGCACTGGATGCAGGTAAAAAACCAATATAAGGGAACCAGCAGTTAGCGTAATGGCTATGTTGCTGCACTCCCACGTAGTCGACTGCGGTTCGCATCCCGGACCCGGTGGCTTAAAACTCACGCCGGGTGCGTATGTGTGCGTGCCCAAAATCCCAAGAGGAGAATGGAGGAGAAGGGATTGCGGCGTGACCATCCCCCCTGGGGGGTGATTTCTCGCTTTCTGTCTCTATGTCTCTCTCTGTCTGTCTGGCGAGCGCACGCGCCCTATAGTGAAAAACCTCTCCAAAAAAAAAATACAAAAGGGACCAGCAGATGGCGTAGCAGTTATGTCACTGGACTCCCACAGGGCCATGGTTTGGGGCCTGGACCTAGCAGCTTGAAACTCACACCATGAATGTATGTGTGTGATGCCAAGATCCCGGGAGGAGAATGGAGGAAAAGGGATTGCAGTATGACTATCCCTCCCTGGGGGAGACTTCTCACTTCCCCTGTCTCTGTCTGTCTCTCTTTCTCTGGTGAAAGCACATGCCCTAAAGCAAAAACCCCTTTATTTATTTTTATTTATTTATTTTTTTGGAGAGGTTTTTGCTATTGGGCGCGTGCGCTCGCCAGACAGAGAGAGACAGAGAGACAGAAAGTGAGAAATCACCCCGCAGAGGGCATGGCCACGCTGCAATCCCTTCTCCTCATTCTCCTCTCGAGATCTTGGGCACGCACACACATGTGCCCGGTGTGAGTTTTAAGCCACCAGGTCCGGGACACAAACTGCGGTCGACTACGTGGGAGTCCAGCGACATAGCCATTACGCTAACTGCTGGTCCCGCAAAAACCCCTTTAAAAAAAAAAAGAGAGGAAAAAAAGAAAAGAAAGAGCGGAAGGGGAAAAAAGAAACCCAGAAAGCTGGGTGCAGGGAATTCGGTTTTCTTTTTCTGGGGCGAGTTGCTGACTTACCTGCAGCTAACAGAATCCCAGGCAAGGTGCTCTACATTTGGGATGCTAGCTAGCTTGTCAGTGGGAAAATCAGGTATAAATAAATTTCTTGAAAAACCTTGAGTCTGAGCCAACTCATGGTGTGGTGCTTAGGGTGGCTGGATCCCACATGGCAGACTACAGTTCGAGTCGTGGACCCAGCGGCCTCGCAACCATGCCAGGTTCATGTGCATGCATGCCCAAATTCCCGAAAGAAGAAATAGAGAAGGGATTGTGGTGTGATTATACCCCCTGGGAGGGTGTTTTCTCACCTCCTTCGCTCTCTGTCTCTCTCTTACAAGTGCACACACTCTCTAGCAAAAATTAAAGAGAAAGAAGAAAAGGCTCAGGTGTATCTGTGAAGCGTACACAACTGTCTGTCTGTGGAATGGTTGTCAGTGCCTGTGAGCTCGTCCCCCTAGCCTGGGTCAGGTCCCCCTAGCCTGGGTCAGGTTGGCACCTTGTCCCTCGGTAGTTTCCCTTCTCTTTTTTTAAGAGAGATTTTTGCTGTAGGGCGCGTGTGCTCGCCAGAGAGATAGAGAGTGAGAAATCACCTCCCAGGAGGGATGGCCGTGCTGCAATCCCGTCTCCTCCATTCTGCTCTCAGGATTTCAGGCACGTGTGCACACACATCCTATGTGAGTTTTAAACTGCCGGGTCCAGGACTCGAACCAAGATCAACTACATGGGAGTCCAGCGACGGAATCATTACGCCGTCTTTTGGTCCCTCAGTGCAGTTTCTCACTGTCCACCTACCTCTCTAGAGCAGACTCTTCCAGCCACCGACCCGCCCATGATCCTTTATTTATCCATCCACCCAGTCATTCACTCGCCCGTCTGTCCATTCATGCTCTCATCCTTCCGTGTACCACCTATCCAGCCCCTGATCTACCCTCCTACCCGGATCCACCCACCCATCCGTCTATCCATTCCCTCACCCATCTATCCACGCACCTGGTCACCCACCCCCATCCGTCTGTCATGCATGCCACTGTGTCCTCTGCTCACCCATTCACTTACCCACTCACAAGTCTGTAGATTTTTTATTCTCTTCCACTCATCTATCTATCGGTCCCTGTCCTGCCCACCATAGCCCGGTGTTCCATCCTTCACCCACCCCACGTCCCCATCGTCCTAGCCTGTCCTCCATCTACCTGTGTGTCCGTCCACTCTCCCAAACCTCCCAGCTGCCCTCCTGGCCACCCGGTCTGCTTCCCTTACACATCTTCCTGCCGGCTGCCAGGCACCTCTCGTCTGTCCACTGTGGCTCCGTCACATCTGCTGTGTCTCTCCCTCTAGTCCTCATCAGGGCTGCCCCGTGCTCTCGGGGTCAAGCCCTCACTCCTCCATGCGGCCTCAGCACCCTCCTGTCCAGTTTTGTCCCCTGCTGACCTTCTTGGCTCTGCACCCCAGCAGCCCAGCCTCCTCTAGTTTCTGGGGTTTTTTTTTGAGAGGTTTTTGCTACAGGGCGCATGCACTTGCCAGAAAGACAAAGAGAGGCAGAGAGAAAGTGAGAAATCACCCCCCAGGGTGATGGCCATGCCACAATCCCTTTTCCTCCATTCTCCTCTTGGGATATTGGGCACGCACGCACATGCACCTGGCATGAGTTTAAGCCACTGGGTCCAGGACTCGAACCACGGTCGACTACATGGGAGTCCAGCAATATAGCCATTACGTCAACTGCTGGTCCCAGTATTTTTTTTTTTTTAGGGAGATTTTTGCGCGCACACACACACACACACACACACACACACACACACACACACGCCCAGTGTGAGTTTTAAGCCACTGGGTCCAGGACTTGAACCGCGATTGACTATGTGGGAGTCTAGCGACATAACCACTATGCCATCTGCTGGTCCCAGCCTCCTCTAGTTCCTTGGGAAGATGAGTTGCCTCCACTCCAGAGCTGTGGGGCATGCTCTTCCTGCCTGGAACGCTCCTCCTCCTCCCTCTGCCCAGCCAGCCTCCCGTGTCGCTCTCCTCGGTGTCTTGTCCACAGCACGGAAGGTGGGAACTGTAGCAAGGGACTCAGTCTGTCCCTTCAGCTCAGCTCTGAGCCCCTGAGGGCCAGGCAGAGGCCGCCCACTGTGTTCACTGCGGTGTGTCCAGCCCGTGCCTGCACGGTGCCTGGTGCACAGTAGGTGCTTTTTAAATAAAGGAGCAGGAGCGTTTATCCACGAGGGCATGGGTCCGTCTTGTCTGCTCGTCGACCCCATGCACTCCACCAGACAGCTGCTCCTCCCCGCTCCCTCTGCCATCCTGCCAGTGCCTGCCTTCTATGTAACTGAGCGGCTTCCCATCCGCCCACCTGTCCCCCCATCCGCTGTCTGTCTGTTCGCCCACTTACTCATCCACCCGCCTGTCCAGCCACCCATTATGGCCCACTCACCCACTCGTCCACCCACACATCTGTTCCTCTACTCGTCCACCCACCTCTCCATCCGTCCATCTGTCCATCTCTCTGTCCATCTTGCACATGCTCACTGAGTGCATGGTGAGTGCCCATAGGCTGGGGCCCAGTGAGGAGCACAATGATGACACCCTGTGGTTGGAGGATGTCACATCCTGGTCACAGCAAAACAGTGACGGTGGGGTGAAGCCAGCTGCCTGAGACGTGTCCGAGGCGGCCTGGCGGCCAGCAGCGACACTCAGAACAGGGTGCAGTGGGCAGTGGGCTGGGCCGGCTGGAGGCTTCCTGGAACAGCCCTCTTGAGCTGGGCTGTTAAGTGGGGGTGACTTGGGGTCACACCAGGCAGGGGCGTGTAGTTAATTCATTGAGAGGAAGAGGGTGCTTGGCCTGGAGGGTGGATGGGAGGAGTCAGGGCCAGCTGGAGCAGCCTGGAGGGGTGCCTGGGCCTCTCCTGCTCTGCTGCCTCCTAGGCTGGAGCCCTGCTGTTAGGGAGCAGGCATGAGCCTGGGGCAACACTTCATCCCCGCCCTCTGCCGCAGGTGCGGCTGACTCTCCTGCAGCTGAAAGGCCTGGAGGACAGCTACCAAGGCCGGGTGGCCTTCCCAGCCGGGAGCTTCACCATCAAGCCCTTGGGGTTCCTGTAAGTGCCAGCCCTGCGGGGACAGGTAGCGGCAGGGTAGCGGCAGTCCCACCTCCTGGTCACTCAGACCTGGGTGCAGTACCAGCTCTGCCTCTTCCCGTTGTCTGGCCTGGACCGGCCAACCACCCGGCACCTCCTCTGTGTAATGGGGAGTAGCAGCAGGCGAGGACCCTCCTAGACCCCGGCCTCCTCAGCCTCTTGCAGATCGCTGGGGACCTGGAGGACCTGGAGCTGGCCCTGAACAAGACCAAGACCAAAGCATCCCTGGGCTCGGGCTCCTGCTCCGCCCTCATCAAGCTGCTGCCCGGCCAGCGCGACCTGCTGGTGGCTCACAACACCTGGAACACCTACCAGCACATGCTGCGCGTCATCAAGAAGCTGTCCTTCCAGTTCCACCAGGGCCCCCAAGGCAGGTGCACGTGGGCATCGGTGTGCGGGAGCACACGGGGGCGTGAAAGGGTGACACCGGGAGCAGGTGCTGTCACCACACCACCCCTGCCCCATACACACAGGGCTCCCCAGGTACCATTCTCAGTCCTCTTCTTATTTTTGACACACTTATTTCCTTTCAGTCTGTCTGTCTCTCTCTCTTTCCTTCATGGGGGTTTTTGCCTTAGGGCACATGCACATGCCAGAGTGAGAGAGACAGAGACAGAGACAGTGAGAGGGAAAGTGGGAAATCACCCTCGGTGGGGGGTGGTGGTTGGCCACACTGCAATCCCTTCTTCTCCGTTCTCCTCCCAGGATCTTGGGCACACGTGTATTAGTGCCCAGTGTGAGTTTCAAGCTACCGGGTCTGGCACTCGAATCGCGGTCAGCTTTGTGGGAGTCCAGCGATATAACCACTGTGCCGGTTCCTGGCCCCCTTACCTTGTTTTCTTTCCTTTTTTCTTTTTTTTTTTAAAGAGAGATTTTTGCTATAGGGTACGTTCCCTCTCACTGCAAAGCCAGACAGAAAGTGAGAAATTACCTCCCAGGGGGGATGGTCATGCCACAATCCCTTCTCTTCCATTCTCTTGGGACTTTGACCACACATGCACATGGATCCAGTGCAAGTTTTAAGCCACTGGGTCCAGGACTCAAACCATGGTTGGCTACATGGGAGTCCAGTGACATAATCATTATGCCTTTTGTTGGTCCCACCACATCTTGTTTTTCTTTTTCTTTTTTTTTTTTTGGGGGGGGGGGTGGTTTGCTATAGGACGTTTGCGCTCACCAGAAACACAGAGAGAGACAGAGAGACAGAAAGCGAGAAATCATCCCCCAGGGGGATGGCCACGCCGCAATCCCTTCTCCTCCATTCTCCTCTCGGGATCTTGGGCACGCACACACATGCACCCAATGTGAGTTTAAGCCACTGGGTCCAGGACTCAAACCATGGTTGGCTACATGGGAGTCCAGTGACATAGCCATTACACCAACTTTTGGTCCCTACCTCATGTTGTTTTTAACACATTTATCTGCTTTCAGTCTTTATTTACAAGGTAGACTAGCTATGGCTGCACGTGAAACAACAGAAGCTTAAGACAACAATCATTTGTTCTCTGCCCCACGTCCTAAGTCAGCTGGGTGGTTGCGTTAGTCTGGCTCAGGCATGGCTGGTCTTGGCTGGTTGCGCTGGGGCACCTGCAGTCCACAGGGGCGAGCTGGCTGATCTGGGCTGGCCTCGTGCCTGGGGGTGGACTGTCAGCTGGGTAACTGGGATGACCAGGCTCTTCGGCCTCTCACCCCCAGCAGGTGAGCCCGGGCTTGTTTAATGACATCTGGGCAGGGAGGCGCAGGAGGCTGCTTGAGGCTGGGTTGAAACCGGCTCGACCCTGCTAGCCACAGCAGGTCAAGTGGCCAGCGCAGCTTCCAGAGGTAGGGAATATCCTGCCATGCAATGAGAGGAACTGCAGAGCCACCCTGTAGGTGGCGTGGCTACGGGCCTGGGAAGAGTCCCAGCCATTTTTGCAGACACTCAGCTCCACAAGGAATGCATGAATGCATTTTTAATCTCAAACAGGAAATTTTGCAGCTAAGGCCCAAGTTCCCCATAGTGGCTCTCCCATGCCAGGCCCTAGGCCCCAGTGGCAACGCCAGAGGTATTGTCTTTTTTTTTTTTTTTTTTTTTTTTTTTAGAGGTTTTTCTCTTTTTTTTTGAGAGGTTTCTGCTATAAGGTGCATGCACTTGCCAGAAAGACAGAAAGTGAGAAATCACCCCTCGGGGGGTTGGCCACGCTGCAATCCCTTCTCCTCCATTCTCCTCTTGGGATCTTGGGCACGCACACACACCGGCGTGAGTTTAAGCCACTGGGTCCGGGACTTGAACAGTGGTGTACTAAGTGGGAGTCCAGCGACATAGCCAGTATGCCAACTGCTGGTCCCCGTGAGGTACTGTCTACTCTCACATGTTTGCTCTGCCCCTTGGCCAGACTTAAAATCATGATGATGCCAGGGGGTAAGCAATCCCTTCTCTTCCATTACCCCGTCCTGTCCAGGTTGGGGCATGCACGCACACACGCCTGGCATGTTTTCCAAGCTGCCAGGACTGGGATTTGAATCGTGGTTGGCTGTGTGGGATCCAGCTCCCTTAGGCTACAGGGCCAGCTCCATTTTCAATATCTTTTAAAATCCTGTGGGAGTCATACATGTGTGCTGTAGAAAATTGGAAAATCCAGCATAATATGCACCCACAAATCCCAGGCCACTCTGTGGCCTGGTGGTCAAGGCAGCTGGATCCCACATGGCCAGCCACACAGTTCGAATCCAGTGCCTTGAGAGACATAGCAGGCATGAGTGTGTGCCCAAAATCTCGAGAGGAGACTAGAGAAGGGATTGCAGCATGGCCATCCCCATGACAAGTGTTTTCTACTCACCCCTTCCCCTGTGTCTGTCCTCTCTCTGGCCAGTGCATATGCCCTACCTAGAGCAAAATTACAAAACAAAAGCTGTAGATTGACAGATACCTTGCGCGGATAATACAGAGTTGCCACATACCTGTCCCGTCTTCCCTATCATTAACATCTGTACATTTGCTATAATTGTTGAACCATTTTTTTTTTAAGAGGGAGATTTTTGCTGTAGGGCACGTGCACTCACTGGAGAGGCAGAGAGAGACAGAGAGGCCGAAAGCGAGAAATTACCTCCCCCACAATCCCTTCTCCATTCTCCGATCAGGATCTTGGGCACACACGCTCCCGTGCCCAGCGCTAGTTTTAAGTCATCATATCCAGGACTTGAACCGCAGTGGACTACATGGGAGTCCAGCAACGTAACCATTACGCTATGTGCTGGTCAGCCGAGCCCCATCGTTTACATTAGGGCCAGGTGTTTTCTCCGTAACTTTTAAATCTGTGACAGAGTGTACGTGCGCGCATGCGTGTAAGTGAGAGGGAGCGAGACAAACACCCTCCTCAGGGTCTGGTCATATCATGGTCCCCTTCGACCAGTCCTGCAGTGCATAGGATCCTGCCACTTGTGTATGTCTTTGAATTTTGATGGAATTCACAAAATATAAAATTAGCCATTTTAATGAACCATTTTAAACTGTACAGTTCAATGGCATTTATGTATTCGTAGTGTTATACGCCCACCACCTCTCTCTGGTTCCCAAACATTGCTTCACCCCTGAAGGAAGCTCTGTACCCAGGAAGCACTCACTCTCCTTTCATAGTTTTCCTGTGACTGCCTCCTTTCACTTAATGGACCTTTTTATAGGTTCATCTGCGTCATAGCATGTATCGGTGCGTCCTTCCTTTTCATGGCTGAATAGTATTCCACTGTATGGACGTACCACAATGTTTATCCATCCCTCAGTGGATGGACCGTGGGCTTTTTCTACATTTTGTCTTCTGCACTGATTTTTGATAGTTAAAAGATTAGCTAACTAACACATATTTGCAGCAGAAGGTTAGGAAATATAGTAGAACACAAGAAAAGGATAAGCATCACTCGTGGGACCAGCAGATGGCGCAATGGTTACATTGCTGGATTCCCACATCAGCTACTGTGCTTCAAGTTCTGGACCAAGTGGCTTAAAACTTGGAGTGTGGGCGTATGTGCCCAAAATCTCAAGAAGAGAATGGAGAAGGGACTGTGGTGTGGCAGTCCCCCCGAGGGGTGATTTCTCACTTCCTGTCTCTCTGTCTCTTCAGTGAGCACACATGCCCTATAGTAAAAATCCCTCTAAAAAAGAAAAAAAGAATCACTTAAAATCTACTCTGCCCTGCTATCCCCTTCCTGAAAACCCTTGATTAGTGCTGGTTGTTTTCCTTTCTAGTTTCAGCAGTTTAGCTCTTCTTTTTTATTTTATTATTTGTTTATTTACTTATTTGTCTACTTATTTATTTATTTACTTTTTCACTTATTTATTTATTTAGAGAGATTTTTGCTATAGGGAACATATACTCTCCCAAGACACAGAGAAAGACAGAGAAAGTAAGAAATCATCACCGCCCCCATGGGGAATGGCCACGCCACAATCCCTTCTCTCCATTCTCCTCTTGGGATCTTGGGCACACGTGCATATGCGCTCAGCATAAATTTTAAGCCTCCAGGTCTGGGACTTGAACTGCGGAGTCCAACTCCTTACCCACTGTGCCACCTGCTGGCCCTGTCATTTTTATTTATTCATTGGTCGTATAGAAATGGATCCTTTAGTCTGGCCCCTGCAGGTGTCCTCCTTCCTTCCCCCAGAGCACCTTGGACCCGAGGCGCGCCCCCCGGACAAGTGCAGGTCTGACTGTATGTCCTGTCTGTGGTGCGCTTCCTCGTTACCCCGCGCGCTCGTAAACCAGATTCTTAACGCCCACCCTGCGTGGGGGTGAGGGGTAATTATTCCCGTTTTGCAGATGAGGAAACCGAGGCTTGGGCACAGGCCAGTTAATAAGGGGCCGAGGTGAGAGTCGATGCGGGCCCTTTCCCTCCTCAGCAGTGCTTTTGGACTTCCAGGTGTTACCTGCAGAATGCTTACAATACAGCTTTGCCATTTAAAAAAAGTGCCTCGGGGCCAGCGGATGGCGTAATGGTTATGTCGCTGGACTCCCACGTAGTCAACTGTGGTTCGAGTCCCAGATCCGGTAGCTTAAAACTCACGCCAGACGCGTCGTACATGCATGCCCAAGATCCCAAGAGGAGAATGAAGGAGAAGGGATTTTGCGGCGTGGCCATCCTCCTTAGGGGATGATTTCTTGCTTTCTGTTTGTCTCTATCTCTCTGGCGAGTACATGTGCCCTATAGCAAAATCTCTGTGTCAAAAAAAAAAAATGTACCCGGCCAGCTCAGGAGAAGCTGAATCCCACAGGTGACCACGGTTCGAGTCTGTGACCCTGTAGCAGTCTGGGCACGTGCATGAATGCTGAGGCTCTGATGGGCTGGAGGGAGGCCATTGTGGTGTGACCAGACCCGAGGAGGTGCCCGCCTTTCTCACTCTCGTATGTGCATGCGTGCAGTCTATCATGAATAAAATTAAAGACACCAAGATGTAAAACATATGCAAATATAAATGCATATGCATGAGTATGTATATTTACAACATACATATTTTTTCTACTAGCTATTATTTTTTTCTTTTCTTTTCTTTGTTTTTTGGAGAGGTTTTCACTATAGGGCGCGTGCGCTCGCCAGACAGACAAAGAGAGACAGAGAGACAGAAAGCGAGAAATCACCCCCCAGGGGGGATGTTCATGCCACATTCCCTTCCCCTCCATTCTCCTCTCGGGATCTTGGGCACGCACACACATGCGCCCGGTGTGAGTTTTAAGCCACCGGGTCCGGGACGCGAACCGCAGTCAACCACGTGGGAGTCCAGCGACATGGCCATTACGCTAACTGCTGGTCCCCTATTTTTTTCTTTTGAGAAAGTTTTTTTTCGGGAGGGGGAAGAGATTTTTGCTATGGGGTGTGCGCACTCATCAGAGAGACAGAGAGAGACAGGGAGGCAGAAGGTGAGCAGTCACCCCCCGGGGGGGATGGTCACACTACAATCCTTTCTCCTCCATTCTCCTCTTGGGATTTTGGGCACGCACACATATGTGCCCAGTGTGAATTTTAAGGTGCTGGGTCCAGGACTCGAACCACATTAGACTACATAGGAGTCCAGCGACGTAATCATTAGGCCATCCTCTGGTCCCGAAAAGATTTTTGCTATAGGGTGCGTTTGGTCACTGGAGAGAGAGACAGAGATAGAAATTGGCCCCCAGGGGTGATTGCCATGCCATAATACCTTCCCTTCCATTCTCCTGTTAGGATTTTGTACATTCATGCACACATGCCCAGTATATTTGAAGCCTCTGGGTCCAGTACTCAAACCACGGTCAGCCACATGGGAGTCCAGTGCCTTAACCACTATGCCACCTGCTGGCCCCACGAGCTGTTACTTTCAAACACGTGCACATTTACCTATATCCAATGGCCTCACTTGCCGTGTAATAGAAGGACAGGAGTGGGCTTCCTTCAAGGCCGGCTCGCTCCCCACACTGGGACCAAGCCTTGCTGGGTGAGGAGTCGGGCTCCCATGTGGGACGTCTGATGGCCGCCCCCCCGGGTTACTCTCCCCAACAGAGGACTCCCCGCTGGTTCCCAGCAACAAGCTGGTCTTCTCGTCCTACCCCGGCACTATCTTCTCCTGTGACGACTTCTACATCCTCAGCAGCGGGCTGGTGAGTGACCTTCTCCTGTCGCCCTCGTCTCTGGGGATGTGTCTGACCCGGCAGCTCAGGGCCAGCAGGACCTACTCATTCAGCTAGTGGTGACTGAGCTGCAGCCGGGTACCGGGCATTGGCAGGAGCCAGGATACAGCAGAGGGCCAGGCGGACGCAGCCCCATGGCCATGGCAGGGCGGAAGCGCCTTCTTCCTGCTGTTGGCTTAGGCTCCCAGGATGGAGTGGAGTCAAAATGCAGATACCAGGCCCCGGGGCCCCCGAACCTGCAGCTGGCCTGGGAGTCTGCATCGTAGCCCAGGAACCCTGGTCTTGGGGACCTTTGGGAACATCCTGGACTCCAGCGACCTCATTGTTTTTCTGGATTCAGGATAAACTATCTCCCCCACATTCCCACCGGTGACCTCATTCGCCCTCCTCCTGCCTTTCCTCTTTCCACAAAACCCATCGAATCCAGCCAGGTTTTCTGAATAGATGTTGTTGACAATGTGCTGTTTTGATTGTGTCTCCTGGCGGGGATCCAGACTCACTTGGAAATCCGTTTCTTGGCACCCCAAGATGAGGCAGCAAGCGCCGCGAGGGGCAACGCTGCAGAGGAGAGGAGAGAAAGCATCGTTTAAAAAAAAAAAAACACCCACCATGCAGAGGGTGCCAGCTCCCTGTGAGACGGGACAGGACAGGAGGGAAGGGACAGCTCCTCCGGCTGTAGGCTCTCCTGTTACTTTTTGCTAAGTGTGGAAAAATGCGTAGGAGGGCCCCACAGTGGGTGAAGACCCCCTCCTTCCCATGGCTTGGGCCGGGGCATCAAGTTACTGAACAGGGTCAGGGCAGGAAAGACCTTTCCTTACGGTCTTTGGAAGTTTCCGTGCCACGGACCCATTTGGCAGCCTGGGCAGCCAGGCGTCCCCTCCTCAGACTGGTTTTATTGCAAAAAAAAACCCAAAATATATAGGATTAGAAAGGAAAGCAGTTATTAAAAAATACCAAATAGGGGCTGCAGGTGGCCTGGTGGTTAATGGTGTTGAACTCCCACATGGCTGACTGTGGTTCGAGTCCTCGACCTGGTGGCCTGCTTTCTCACTTTCCCTCTCTCTCTGTCTCTTTCCAGTCAAAAAGAAAAAATGAATAATACGTACAATTAAATAGTTATTTTAAAAATATTCTGAAATTAGGGGCTAGCAGGTGGCATGGTGGTTAATGAACCAGACTCTCACGTGGCCAACCACAGTTGCCTGGACCTGGCAACTTGAAACTCACACTGAGCGTGTGTGCATGTGTGCCCCAAATCCTGAGAATAGGGGAGAAGGGACCGTGGCATGGCCATGCCTGCTGGGGGGAGATTTCTTGCTTTCTGTCTCTCTGTCTCACTTTGTCTCTGGTGAGTGCACACACCCTATAGCAAAAAATTCTTAAAAATAAAATGGAAATTATATCAATATATATGTACATATATAGGTATGTATATATACATGTACTTTTTGGGGGGATGGTCAGAGGGCACATGTGCTTGCCCCAGAGAGGGGGAGAAAGGACCCCTGTGGGGCGTGGTCATGCCACAATCTCTTCTTGTTCATTTCTCCCTCCTTCTGGGATTTTGGGTGCATACACACTCACCCAGCATGTTTTGCAAGCTGCCAAATCTGAGACTCGAACCCTGTGATCGGCCATGGGGCAGCTGGCTGTCTTGAGCAGCAGGCCACGGGCTGGCCCGGAGAAGGGATTGCGATGTGCCCATCCCCCCTGGGGAGTAATTTCTCGCTTTCTGTCTGTCTCTCTAGAGAGTATGCTTACCCTATAGTAAAAAAATCTCTCAAAAAAAAAAAAATCATAGGCCTCAGTTTTTAAAAAAAAATTATTATTTGGGACCAGCAGTTAGCGTAATGGCTATGTCGCTGGACTCCCATGTAGTCGACCGCGGTTCGCGTCCCAGGCCCAGTGACTTAAGCTCACGCCGGCGTGCCCAGGATCCCGAAAGGAGAATGGAGGAGAAGGGATTGCGGCATGGCCATCCCCCCCAGGGGGTGATTTCTCACTTTCTGTCTCTGTCTCTGTTTTTCTGACTAGCTCACGCGCCCTATAGCAAAAAACCTCTCCAAAATAAATAAATGAATAGATAAATAAATAAATACCTTTCATAACCCTAATGCACCCTAGAGAAATGGGAGTTCACCAGGATCACTTTGGCTGTGGATGTGAGTTTTGTTTTTAGCCGACAGGAACAAGGCATTGTTTATAAACTATGCAGAAGTCGGACAAGGGTTCCAGGAGGAAATGGAGACAGGGGAAGAAGCAATTGCAGGATGTGGATGGCGTCCTACCTGCTTCGAGGCTGGAGGGAGACGCACCAAGGGCCTCCATCTGCTGTCACCAGGCTCCCAAGGCCCCTGAGCCCAGAGCCAACTCGCCCTGCAGCAATGCGGGAGGGGTGGGCACTGGTTGCTTCTCTGGGGCAAGAGTTGGCCCACCTGCTGGGGCGTGGGCTTCCCTAGGGGCTCTTGCCCAGGGCAAAGCCAGATGTGTGATCCTGAATACCCTGCCATGTTCGTTGGATGCGAGTTTAAAAACTGTTCCTCAATTGATAAGCGGTGCCTGACAGCACCACCACTTGGTGACAGCGTGCCCACGTGTGTAACACCCTCTGCCCCCCTGCAGGTGGCGCTGGAGACCACCATCGGCAATAAGAACCCGGCCCTGTGGAAGTACGTGCGGCCCGAGGGCAGCGTGCTGGAGTGGGTGCGCAACGTGGTGGCCAACCGCTTGGCCTTGGATGGGGACAGTTGGGCGGATGTCTTCAAGAGGTTCAACAGCGGCACGTGAGTGGGCTGTCCCTGCACGCCCACTGAGGGATGGACAGGCTTCTCCTCGACACTCAGCCCCTGGGGCCTTCTTCCTCTGCAGGGCCCTCAAAGGTTCCTTTGGAGTCAAGGAGTTGTAGAGTCCCCACCTCGCTTTACACCTGGGGACACGGAGGCTCAGGGGAGGAGAGGATTTGCCGCTCCCGGCAGGCCCTTCAGCCGAGGGAGGTCCGCTCTTGGAGAAGGACAGGAAGAGAACTTGGAACTCAAGGGCCCAGGGACAGTGGGGAGGCTGTCTGAGGAGGTGGATGCTGAGGGCGCCAGGGCTTGTGAGCCAGCGTCTCCGAGCTGGGTCGTGCAGGGTGTTAGACTATCTGGCTGAGGAATTCCCTTTGCTCCGATAAGCACTAGGGAGCCATAGCATACCCCGATACAGGCAGGCAGCGTGCTGAGGGAGGAGTCTGCAGACACCTGATGAGGCTGCAGTGTTAGGGATGCAGAGCGCCTGGACTCCCCCAGGCCACCACTGCCTGCGGGGATCCCTGGGCAGGTGAGCTGGGCGCTCCCAGGCTCTGTTGAGACCCCCGATCTTTCCCACGGCAGGTATAATAATCAGTGGATGATCGTGGACTACAAAGCGTTCGTGCCCGGCGGGCCCAGCCCCCAGAGCAGGGTGCTCACCATCCTGGAGCAGATCCCGTGAGTCCCCTGGGGAGCTGGGCTGGGATGCTCCCGGCAGAGGGAACTAACTGCCCAGGCTCAGGCCCTGGGGTGAGCTGGACCCGGCAGAAAGGGAGGACCCAAGGAAGGCGACCGGAAGACATGCATCCTGGGGTCGGGCTATAGGTGCAGGGCATACTCCGTCCCTCGGGCAGTGGGGAGCCATCGAGGGTTCTGGAGCACGGCTGTGTTCACAGAGCCCCTCTTCTGATCACCTTCACCCCGTCTCGGTCCCAGGGGCATGGTGGTGGTGGCGGACAAGACCTCGGAGCTCTACCAGAAGTCCTACTGGGCCAGCTACAACATTCCGTACGTGCCCACCCGCTGTCCGCTGCCTGCCAGCCTCCCTTTGCGGGCCCCCTCACTCAGCTCCATGCGGGAGCCAGGTCCTTCCCTGCAGGGCAGAGAGACCCAGCCTGCCCCCTCCGGCCGAGAAAGCCCTGGGGATTGTGCTGTGTCGTCGTGTGGCCCAGCAGTGTCCCTGTGGCCTCCCTAGCTGGTACACATGGCGTGGTGCAGGCCAGCCGGGCCCAGAACTGAGTCCTGCCAGGTGTTCCAGCCGGGTGGCCTTAGCTGGCCACTCCGTCGTCCCCTCTTGAGGCCCACTCGCTTCACCTTCCCAGCCACCATCCTTGGTAGTGGCCATTCCTGTGCCCATTTCAGATGATGAATCCAAGGTCCCGAGAGCCCACCTAGCCTTCCCACATGGCGAATGGTGAAGCCAGGATTTGAACCTGTGGCTGCTGGATCCCAGAGCCTGAGCTCAATTGCTCCACCGAGCCACCCTCAGCACAAACAAAAGACAAATAATGATTGCTGTCCTGACCGTTGCTAGCGACGGGGTCCCGGGGTCACTAATTTTCTGGCTGTGGTCAAGGGAAGCCTGTGGGGGCCACAGGTGACCAGCCTTGTCCCCACAGGTCCTTTGAGGCTGTGTTCAATGCCAGCGGGCTGCAGGACCTGGTGGCCCAGTACGGAGACTGGTTCTCCTACGACCGGAGCCCCCGAGCCCAGATCTTCCGGAGGAACCAGTCGCTGGTGTATGACATCGACTCCATGGTCCAGCTGATGAGGTGGGTGCGGCCAGGCTGGGCGCCCGGCAGGGCCGAGTGGTGTGGGGTGGGCGGAGGCTCATGGCAGTGCAGCAGGGTGGCCACCGCACTCAGCACCCGTCCCCATGGGTTAGCAGTGTTGTTGCTGGGCCGGTCGAGAGACCATCTGTGCTGGGCACTGTTGTCACCAGGAGAAAGAGCTTAGAGCTCCCCACTGCCCTTGGGGTGCCCTGACCCTGGGGGTGCACATCCCCCCCAGCGCCCACCCTGAAGTGTACTAGACTCCGCGTAGCCCAGATGTGCTACTGGGGGACCACGTGAGCACCTCGCCTCGCCCGGTGGGGGCGTGGAGGGCTCCTTGGAGGAAGGGCCAGCGCAGATCTGAGCAAGGCCATGGGGGCCTGGGCCAGGTCGGGGAGGCAGTTAGGTTCGGCTATGTCATGGCTGCCACCAGGAGTGTGGCCCGTCCACGGCCCCCTCCCCTCCGTCCTAGCTGATGTCCCCTCCCCTCCCCTCTCCAGGTACAACGACTTCCTCCACGACCCCCTGTCCCTGTGCAAGGTCTGCAGCCCCCAGCCCAATGGGGAGAACGCCATCTCAGCCCGCTCCGACCTCAACCCGGCCAACGGCTCCTACCCCTTCCCGGCCCTGCAGCAGCGTTCCCACGGGGGCATCGACGTGAAGGTGCTGCCCCGGGGCCGTGGGCAGGTGGTGGGGTAGAGGCCGGGGTCAAAACAGAGGGTCGGGGGTCAGGGCCTCTGGACCAGGACAGCCAGGGTCCTGGCTCAGCGACTGCTCTGCTCTGGCCCCCAGGTGACCAGTATGTCGTTGGCGAAGACCCTGAGCCTGGTGGCGGCCAGCGGCCCCACGTGGGACCAGGTGCCCCCATTTCAGTGGAGCACCTCCGCCTTCAGTCACCTGCTGCACATGGGCCACCCCGACCTCTGGAAGTTCTCACCCATCCAGGTCTCGTGGGACTGAGGCCCTGACCCCACATGGCTGCTTCCCCCTGCAGGCCCCCCGCTGCTGCCTGGACCTGCAGCCCCACGTCCATCTGGGGGGCCTCATCCTTGCTGGACTGCGATCGAGGCCAGGGTCTGCAGGGTCACCCTCATCTGGGTGGGCTCCTCCCAGGGTGGGGCATAGAGCCCAAGGGGGTTTGAAACTGACTGACTGTCCCCTGGGGTGGGTGACACTGTCCCCATCCCCAGCATCTGCTGCCTCTCTGCACTGTCTCTCTGTCTCTCTCGACTGCACTCTCTGCTTCTCTGTTTGTCTCCTGCCCCAACCCCTGCGGCGAGCCTGCAGGTGGCACAGGAGCTGGGCGTTCTCCCTGAGGGTGCCCTCCTCCCAGCCCCGTGCCCTCTCGGGAAGCAGCCCTCCCTGCGTGTCCCGTTCCGGACGCGTCCTTGAGGGCAGAAACTTGAAAACACACAAAAGCCAAAGTTTCTGGCCACTAGTGGCCGGAGGGTCCCGTGTGCCCTCTGCTCTCGGGGGCAGGTGGGAGTGCCAGCCGCAGGCTCCCGCCTTGTGCCCCCTGGCCTCCGGCTCTGCCTGCTGCTCCCTTGCGCGGGAGCTGCCCCACAGGCGGCACCGCCATTAAACCAAGAGGCCGTGGCCCTGTGCTGTGCTTCTTGGGGCTGCCAGGAAGGCGGGTCGGCGCCTGTTTTCGTCTCAGGTTTGGGTTCTGCGCCCTCCCCCAGGGGCCCCCCAGCCCATCCTCTGCCTGTCCATCTACTCATCCATCCCTTGGCCTGCCCTCCCACCCACCACCCATCCAGCCATCCAACACCCATCCGGTCATCTGTCTGTCTTCCTGCTTACCCACTTAGCATTCACTGTCTGCTCGTCCATCCACCCATCTCCATCCATCTGCCTGTCCATGTCCACCTGTCCATCCATCTCCTATGCCCCACCTGCCCATCCATCATCCATCCATCCACCCACCTACCTACCGTCAGCTCCATCCTTCCTTGTGCCCATCTGTCCATCCCTCCATCTCCCCACCTGTCATTCATCCGTCCACCTGTCTGTCCATCCCCCCATCCATCCATCTAGATATTTATTGAGCACCTCCTATCTTCTGGGTCCTGTTCTAGGACCCCATTAGCCGCCAAGACCTGCCTAAGTCCTGCCGTGGGGTACAGACCAACATAGAATAGAGTCTCTCCCCGTCAGATCCACACATAGCCTGCCTTAGAAACAGGACTCGCCCAGTGCTGGGTGCCTGGGTGGGGCGGGGGGAGGAGAGCACACAGTTCTGGAGTCAGAGACCCAGGTTCGAATCCTGCCTTCACCTCTTCCTAGCTGGGGACTCAACCTCTCTGAGCCTTGGTAACCTCGACAGTGACATGGGGTGATATGCAGGTGGGTGCCCTGAGAGGGTGTGGGGAGGGCTCACTGTAGGGTGGGGGCATCATAGATTCAGCATTCATTCATTGGCATATACTTTTCAAACCCCGAGCAGGTGCCTTATAACCCAGGTACAAAAATGTCCCCCTACACCTGCAACCCCTGCTACTCAGGGGTTAGACTGGCCACGCCGCGGGAGAAAGGACTGTGAGTTCGGGGCCAGCCTGGCAGTAGGGTAAGACCCTGTCTCAAGGAAAACGAATTTAAAAATCCCCGCTCTTGGTGACATTTACGTTGGGGACAGAGTTCACTTAAGGTCCCTCTAATCTGCTCCCTGGTGTGTAAACTATTCGTAAATGCTCTGGAGAAAATAAAGCAAGGCGGGGCTGCCGTGGGCTTGCCGTTTTTCCTGATGGCCTCCCGACCCCTGGGATCCGGGCATCGACCGCGTGGGGCTTTCAAAGCTGGTTTCTGCTGGTACATTGCGAGAGCATGTTCATGCCCTGGGTCTCAGTGCTCACGACGGCCCCGTTCCGTGGAAAAGGCCAGGACCTTCCCGTGTGGTCTACGGAGGGGGAAGCAGGCTTGGTGTTCTAGTCCCTTCTGTGGCTAATAACGGAAAGTACCTGCAACCCAGTGGTTTATAAGAATAGAGTTGGGGTCAGCAGGTGGCACAGTGGGGAAGATGCTGGACTCCCATATGGTAGACCAGGGTTTGAGTGCCGGACCTGGTGGCTTGCTACACCAGGTGCGTGTGTGCGCATGCCCAAAATCCCCGAGAGGAGAATGGGAGAGAGGGGACTGTGGTGTGGCCATCCCCCCGGGGGTAAGTTCTCACTTTCTCTCTGTCTCTCCTCTCCTGCGAGTGCACATGCATATGGCAAAAACCTTGGTGAAAAAAAGAATAGAGGTTTATTTAGCTCATGGTCTGGAGGTCTAAGGTCTAGGGGCCACATCTGGTGAGGGTCTTCTTGCTGGTGGGGTCCCCGAGGGTGTCACAGGACACATGTCGGTGTCCATGTCTCTGTCCTGGCCTGTCCCTCTTCCACAAGGAGTCGATTGTGGGCCCTACCCCGATGACCTCATCCAATGCCGGTCACCTCCCAGAGGCCCCCACTTTCAACGCCACAGTCAAATTATGTTTTCACTCTGGGGTCAGCAGATGGTGTTGTGGTTAAGGGGCTAGACTTCCAAATGGCTCACTGCAGTTCGAGTCCTGCACCCGGCAGTTTGAAACTCAGGCTGGGTGCATATGCCTGTGTGCCCAAAATCCCGAGAGGAGAAAGGATTGTGGTGTGGCACACCCCCCTGGGGGGGGTGATTTCTCATTTTCTGTCTCCGTCTCTATAGCAAAAATCTCTCTCAAAAGAAGACTTGGTTTTGTCTTCTTAATCCCATCAACCAAACCTGAACAGGGGGATGGGGGCAGGGGTGCGGTCCTATTCAAGCCCTAGCACTCCGGGAAGGGAAGTGACCTGCCTGAAATCTCAAGACTTGTTCCCATCAGGGGACCAGCAGTTGGCGTAATGGCTATGTCACTGGACTCCCATGTAGTTGACCACAGGTCGAGTCCCGGACCCGATGGCTTAAACTCACGCCGGGCGCATGTGCATGCATGCCCAAGATCCCGAGAGGAGAATGGAGGAGAAGGGATTGCGGCGTGGCCACTGTCTCTCTGTCTCTCTGTCTTTCTGGCGAGCGCACCTGCCCTAAAGCAAAAACCTCTCCAAAAAAAGACTTGCTCCCATCAGGGCCAGGATGGTGCCCTGTGTGTGACGGTGCAGGCCCTGGCGGGACAGGTCACCCCTACTGTGCGCCAGTCACCGTCTGCACAGCCACTCCTGAGACTGGGGCTTCCTTTAGACCCATTCAATAGATGAGGTAGTGGAGGTTCATGGTGGCGATGGGCCTCACTTAGAGTCACTGTAGTCTACTCCCTGGAATGGTTCCAGCCCTCCTGCCTTCCGGGCGGTAGGGGTGGTCGTAAGCCAGGCAACTCGGAGAGGGCCGGGGATGGGGTCACACAGACGGTCCCTCGTGGGCCTTCAGCTCACCGGCAGCCAGGAAGGCGGTGACATTAGGCTCCTGCATGTTCGGAGTTTCCCACCATCCTCGGCTTCAAGATGGCAGCCGCCCGCACATCTGTGGCTCAGCCCTGCCCTGCAGGACTAGGGTCTGGCCGGCCCACGGTGCCTTGCCTCCTCCTCCCGGGGGCTCGTAGTCGGGACATGGAAGCTGGGAGTGACCCTATTCTGAGCACCCCTGAACCGAGGGCTGTTTGCAACTCACTCTGTCCCCAGGGAAAGTTCTGGAGCTAAGGGGCCAACTCGATTTCCTGGCTGTGCCAGCCCTCCCTTTGTCGCATTTGGGTTTTCAGATCCACCTGCTGCTCCATCCTGAGTGTAGGCGGAGGTGGGCCCAGCCTGGCCCTTGCCCTCACCTTGGCATCTTGGAGCTGGGTATTTACTGTGGGGCGGGGCAGGGGGGGTTGAGTAGGATCGGCAGCCTGTGTAGATCTGGGTAGGCCCCTCGGTTCTTTTTTTTTTTTTTTTTTTTTTTTATTTTACCTTTTGTAATTATTTTTGAATTATTTTCTTTATTTTTATTTATTTATTTCAGAGAGGTTTTTGCTGTAAGGGAGCTTGTGCTCACTAGAAAGACAGAGAGCGAGAGACAGAAAGCGAGAAATCACCCACCAGGGGCATGGCCACGCCGCAATCCCTTCTCCTCCATTCTCCTCTCAGGATCTTGGGCACGCACGCACACGCGCCCGGCGTGAGTTTAAGCCACCGGGTCTGGGACTTAAACTGCGGTCGACTACGTGGAGTCCAGCGACATAGCCATTACACCAACTGCTGGTCCCACTTCATTTGTTTATTTAATTTATTTTATTTTGACCAGAGAAGGGGAGAGAGAGAGAAAGACAGTGAGAGAGAGGAAGTGAGAAACCAAGCCACCAGGCCTGGGAATTGAACCTCAGTAGGCCATGTGGGAGTCCAGTGCCTTAACCACCACACCACCTGTCAGTCCCTATTATTAGTTTAAAATTTGCTGTAGGATATGTGTGCTAACCAGAGAGAGAGAGAGAGAGAAGGAAAGTGAGAAAGCAAGCTGCCAGGTCCGGGACTTGAACAACAGTCAGCCATATGGGAGTTCAGCCCCTTCACCACCACCCCCAAGTGCTGACCCCTCTTGCACTTAACTTCCAATGGAGGCTTTCAAACAGGGCCCTGGGGCTGCTCAGGTGATGAGGGACAGTCTTGAGGGTGGTTGGTGGGGCCGAAAGTGGGGGGATGACACCCTCTGGCCTTTCATTCCGCCCCAGCAATTTCCCTCTGATGGGTTTCCATCACAGGCTTTGTGCACTTGCACTGGGTTTGCACGACCCCTGGTGCAGAGGGGGGTGTCCATTGTCACCTTGCCCACCCCTAGAGATGGGGGGCTCACTGCTCGACTCCCAGCGGCTCTGGGATAAAATCATGTGGTCAGGAAGGACTTGGTGTCAGATGGGGTCGGCAGCAGAGGCAGCCTTCGTCCACTAGAGCCCCCCTCGGTGAGCCCTGTTCCCTTGCTGCGTCCTGCCACAGGGATGCCCCTCCTGGCTGGTGTCGGGCTCCTGCCCTTGCCGTGGGGCCCCAGGGCTCCCAGGAATGGGGCTGGTTGGGGGTTTCTCCCTCCTCAGGGCGGGGCTAAGAGCAGGCGTGACAGGTGGAAGGAGGGAGGGGAGACAGCCGATGATGGAAAACCTCTGAAGACGTTCTTTGCATAAATATAGACTTTATTATTTCGTGAAAAAGCTCACAGAGTCGAAAAGTGCATGAGGGTGGGGTCGGGCTTCCCAGGGGACCGGATGGTTCCTGGAACCTGGACCGAGCCCTGACCCTGAGAGAGTCTGGGTGGGGAGAAAGCTTGGAGGAGGGCCCTCCCCCAGCCGGCCCTGCCCTTCCCGCCCTTCCCGCCCCACCTCTGTGGGAACCTGGCGAGTTACTTGTGGGCGATTGTCACCCTCGCAGGGACGCTCAGGACAGAGCGGTCACGTGGACACGAGAGGTCCCCTTCAGGGCCCCCCTGGCTGCTAAAGCCCCAGCTCTGGGAGCACCGGCCCCACCACGCGGTGGGTTCCTGGCAACAAGCGGGCCTTCCTGCCGGGCTGCAAACCAGACTGGGAGATATATTTACACCCAGGCGCTGGATAAAACTCCAGCCCCTCCAGAGGCCTCCGGGGCCCCCGGGACACTCGGGTCCTCACTTGGACAGCCTCTCTCTCTTGGCCACCTCTTCCTTGAGAGCCTGCAGCTGGGCTAGGCTGATGTTGCTGCCCCCGCAGACGATGACCACCAGGGAGGGCAGGGGGGCCTGCAGCTTCCCCTCGCCCTGCAGCTTCTGCACCACGTGGCTGTAGACCGCGGCCAGGGCCGCCCCGCAGGCTGGCTCCACCAGGATCTTCTCGTCGTCTGCCAGAAAAGGGGCACGACCAGGGTGGGTGCAAGGGAACTGCTAGGTCATTGGCCGAGCTTGGGGGAAACGGGCCAATCAGCTCTCAGCGCTGGCCACTGACAGGTTCTGGGCCACACCTCCCACCATCCCGCTGCTGGTGAACCGACGGCTGTTGCGGAGCACTGTTAAGAAGGCTCCTCCTACCAGCAGTTAGCGTAATGGCTATGTCGCTGGACTCCCATGTAGTTAACTAAGGTTCGAGTCCCAGACCCGGTGGCTTAAACTCACGCCGGGCGCATGTGAGGAGAATGGAGAAGAAGGGAGCCATCCCTCCTGGGGGGGTGATTTCTCACTTCCTATCTCTCCATCTGGCGATCTTACATGCCCTATAGCAAAAACCTCTCCCAAAAAAAAAAAAAAAAAGAAAGAAAAAAAAGGCTGAGGCACCCTCCGAACAAGAACGCCATGGCTGATTAGCTAAGTTAGCTACGGGTGCAATAAAATTTAGTAGTAGCATAAATACTACTAAAAAAAAAAAAATCTTTGCCATCTTTATCCTAGGGAATGTCCGGAAAGAATCTTAACCCACTTTTGAATCCAACTCTGAGCCTCATGCTTGTCTTTTTCACCCCGGCTACCAGGAAGCTCCGAGGTCACATTTTTAAATAGCAAGCTCTTATTCTCTGCTGTCATGGTGACCGGACCTACATCATGTGTGGCTTTGGGTTTTCTGTTCTTACCACTGCCTTGTCCTGGGTTGTTGGGAAAGTCATGACCCCCTCCCCCTGTGGAAAAATGTGTCATGCCTTCCCACAATCCAATATTATCTCCCACTAATGGGAAGTTCTCAGCCTGGGCAGGAGACAGAAGTGAGAAGAGATTTAGGGCTCCGTTTAGTCCCTGCCCCCACAGGCCGGGTGTTGACAGGGTTTGGCACGTACCCACAAACTTCTCGATGGCAGCCACAGCCTCCTGGTCCGAGACCACTTCAGAGAAGATGGGGTGTTCCTGAAACAGCTTCAGGGTCTGAGCCGCCACGGTCTTCACGCTCAGGGCCGTGGCAACGCTGGGAGAGGGGAGGACAGAGCAGGGGAAACAGAGGCAGGGGAGAAGAGGGAGGCAATGTCAGTGGGCAGGGGACAGGCTCGACCTCTGCAGCCCTGAAGCTCTGCAAGGTCCCCGGAGTGGGTGGTCTTCCCCTCTGCCTGGCACAGCCCAGCCTTTGGAAAGGATTGGCGAACAGCCTCCTGTTTGGCTCAGCACTGACTCAGGCAGCACCTAAATGGGCCCCCTGCCGTTCCCTCACTCAGCCTACTCCATCCTGCCCTACCCTTCAAGGCTCAGGATTAAAGCTACCTCCTCCAGGAGTCCTCCAGGGAGACTCCTCAGTCCCTATGTAGAATTCTCAGGCATCCCCCTACCCCCGCAGTAACCAAACAGTGAGTGCTTCTTGAGGTGGCGTCAGGTGCCCAGCGCTTCACAAACATGACTGTGTTCTCACAACCAAATTTGGCTGTTTTCAGTCAATTTTATGGAAGGGGAAACTGAAGTGGAGTGTGCCCAAGGTCACACGTCTAGGGAGTGGTGGCTCTGGGGCTCTCCCCAGCCTCCCCGGAGTGACCTTGGGTCCTGTGTGCAGCTTGTCCTTCCCCTTTGTCTCATTCATGAGCATCTGGAGGGCCTGGTCCACCCCAGGCAGCATGTGACTCATGGCACATTCAACCATGATTCAACCCTGCAGCAGGAGCTCTGGGGGGCTGGGCTCAGGAAGTTCCTGCCTGGACTGTCTTCCCTAGCTGTAGCAGAGACTGCTATCTACCCTAGTATCTATTCTAGCCATGCACAGCATAAAGACATTTCCCAGTTTCTCTTGCAGCTAGAGTGGCCGTGCAAGTCAGTTCTAGCCAAAGAGAAGTAAGTGGAAGTATTATGTCTGTCTTTAAAGCTTGGGGCCTAGTGTTCAGTTCCTTTCTTTCTGTCAGATGGGATGTGGGCATGATGGTTGGCACTCAAGCAGCCGTTTTGGACCAGAAGGCTACACACTAAGAATGATGGGAAACAAATTCAAGGAACCTGGGTCTCTAACTTGATGGGGTTGTCCCTGGGATGGCCTAGAATTCTTACATGATTGTATATTTCTCTAGAAATTCTTACGTGAGAGAACTAAAGTTCAATCTTGCTGAAGCTACTGTTCTTTTGGGCCCTTATGTGATACAGCCAAGTCAAATCCTAATGAATATATCGAAAGTCCAGGCTGGGATGTAAACTCCTTGGGAGTGAGAGCTGTGTTTTTTTCACCACGGTGTTTGCAGGATCAGCTGGCACCTTGCACGTGTCAGGGGCTCAATAAATGGCTGGGGGAATTAGCGAGTTACGTAAACCCTGCCGGTAGGAACTTCATGGATGGCTAATATTAACCTTCCATGTGGGGAAGTGTGAATTCTGCGTAGAGTCACACAGGCTGGGGGTTCAAGTCCTAGCCCTTTCACTCCCTCTGACCGGGACCTTAGTTTCCTCCCCCATAAAATGGGGCTGCCATCAGAACCTATGGAAGGGGGCTCCCCAAGGCTTGCTGGACCCCCGAGGGAGGCACCCCCCGTGTCTCACCTGGTGAGCTGAGGCAGGGAGACGAGCTTTCCTGCGGTGGCGGTGGCGTGGAAGCTGTGGGCACCGATGGTCTCCATGGCGATGACGGGCACGTCCCCCCAGCCCACCTCCTGCAGTCCCTGGACCACTCCGCACAGCAGGCCGCCGCCACCCACGGACAGCGCGATGGCCCCCGGCTTCGTGCCCATTGTCTCCTTCAGCTCCTTCACGATGGAAGTGTGGCCTTCCCTGAGGCGTGGGGACACGGGGTGCCAGGTCAGGGCTGGGCCTCGTGGAGGCACCAGTCAGGGGTGCCCAGAGACCCAGCTCTGGTCTGCACTTAACACAGACCAGCCGCTGCTGGGCCTGGGGGCTGGCCCCCGCTCCCCCGCCCCTGGG